AATAAAATAAAAGAAAAAATATATCCAGAAATCTAGTATTACAGATGAGCCACAACGAAAGAGTTCATACATAAATTTCAGGCCACTCAATTTATGCAATGCCAGAAAACAAACTACACTACAAACAGGCCACTCTCATAAAATCTTGGAAAAAGGGAAACATGGAGAAGGAAAACACGAAACGCCCACAAGACTAACATTCGAAGCTTATGCTTACCTATATAAAACAACTCCGACTAATAATAATGAGAGCCAGAATCATTATTATAAGCACGTCCCTTTGGGTATGGGACTTTAGACTCGTACCTGTGATCCCGAGCACCGCCAGGAAAACGTGTCCTCTCGCTGTACGAGTCGTAGGGTTCGGAGTTGTAACCAATGTGGGACTCCCCAGCAGATGCAGCTACCGGATTAAATTCCATGAAGATTTGCTGATATTGCTGTTGTCTTGCTACGGATTCTTTTTGGAGAAACTCATCTCGTCGGGTGGCGTGCCGGGCCCGCAGAGCCAACAGCTGTTCCTCATATTGTGCGTTGATTGTATTTATTCTCTGAGGTGAAAAAATGTGTGCATGGAATATGATATTTCAATTTTTTTTTGCCTCGCTTCTAAAAGGACAGTAAAAACAAGAAAAATGCAGGATGATTATTACTACAATTTACAAATGCTATCCCAAGAATTAAGGTTCACCGCAAATAGCTCTAGTTATCTCCTAAAGTTATCTAAAAGAAGCCTCAAAAATATTTAAACCAGATGTGTCAAATCAGCCATAATTGAGCAGCGTGTACAGAAGTTGATAAAGACGTTAAATCATTAACCGAGGTAAATTTTGACAGGGCATCTCAGGCTGAGGTTTAGGTTATTTACCTGATTCAACAATAGATTAAAATAATAAAAAAAGAAAAATAAACAGTAGAGTTCAAATATACCTCCCGATGCCTGGCATTTTCAGCGTCCTCTGCATCAACTTGTTCTTTGCTGAGCTTCAAAATGTCATCAAGGAACCTCTGCTCAAGACCTTCAAATGTCTGGATTACATGATTATCATCATAGCCTATATCCATATCCTCCTCCTGAGATTGATCTCTAGGATCCCCACCACCTTGTCTCTCCATTGGCATCCGGGGATCCAACCTCTGGGTTTGGTAATATGATCTAGGTGCTTCACGCCCTTGAGTAAAACACAAATAGCGCAATTAAGAAACAGAAGAGTGATAGTTTTTCCCTTTGTATAGTTTGTTAATCTGGGTTATCATCCACAGTTAAAGGTCATGGAAAATTAAAATACTAACCTTCAGATATACCAAAAGCCAAATAGATCATAATTTACCTTTCAAACTACATTTAACCCCTCGGCATCTTTCCTCCATTTCTTCTGGAATTAGCAATCTAAACGGGAAAGTCAATGCTCAAAGGAGGGGTATCTGTGATTTTAAAATGGACCCGAATCTCTACCTTTTCTCTTCCGGTTAAACTAAACCACAAGACACTTCATAATTGTCCCTAAAGGTTAATGGTAATTTAATCTATTTAAAAGGTCAAACTACATGCAAAATGCAGAGAAAATTACAAGGAAAGGAAAGGCCACAGCATTTTAGTATTAGGAATGACAAGTAACTATTGATAATTATGACTTATGAAGTATCATTCACATATCTTCTTAGCAACCGAACATTGTGGCTTGTTTATCGGAGTCGGAAAACTAGGTCAATTGACGGACGAGTTTCACAGTGGTAGGTAAGAATCACTCACTGGGATGAAGTCATTTTTACATAGCAACTCCATCACATATGGTTCGTGACACCAAGTGCAATTAAAAAGAAGTCCACCAGTCATAGGTTGTACAAAGGTTTACACTTGGAGAACCTTACCAATTCAGGATTGAGTGTTTCCTAGAGCAGTGAACAACATTAAAAAACAAATTCAAGCTAGAAATTTCCTAACACAGTTCACTCCAGAATTCATCACAACTACACCTTTCTTCTGATTGAATGAACAAGAACAAATCACACAAAATAAATAAAATCACAGTTTAATCGGGATATCAGTTTAAAAAATAACGAAAAAAAACTAGAACTTGCCTTCAGAGAAAGGCGCGGTGGGCGACATAGCCGTTTGTGGCAATTTATCCTGCGCGCCATCTCTCTCCCACAGCCATTGATTGTTATGCTGCGAGCCTCCTTCCTTTTCGCCGAGGGTTTGCTGTTCCTGGTGGCGTCCATGGTAATAGCTGGACTTGCTGCTGGGGTGCTGCTGGTGCATTTGAGCGGCGGAACCGCCGTACCCGCGGTGACCACCGCCGTCCCCGCGGCCGCTGTCCGAATCGCCCCCGTAGTGGCCCCCTTGCCTTCTCATCTTTTCCGTTTTTCTGTTTTTGAAATAATTCCTTGCACAAAATTGTAAATCAGTTCTATTCCGATTCTAATTCACGAGTGTAGTAGGAATTTAGGGATTAGCTCATGAGAATCAAAGAAGGTGATGAGTGCTAGGCATTTGTTTTAAATTTCTATTGACCTCATCTAATTAATTTATTTTTTTTAAGTCATTTTAATATTTTTAAAAGTTCATTTTAGATTTTAAAATTCTTACAAAAAGATGAGTATTTAACTATTTGAGACTATAATTTGTTAATATTTATTTTTGGATTTTAAAAGAAAAATCATATACAAAATCTCACCATAAATTTCATATCTAGACGTAAGATTTCACAGTGATACAACCCTAAAAGTATGTCGTCTGAACTGGCGTAGTCTTGGCTCGGCGGCGGACGAGATGGTCTTGAGACTAAGGGAACAGGGAAGTGCGGAGGATAGAAGGACGACCTCAAGACCCTAAGGTCGAGGGAAACCTCAAGACCCTCTGTGGCCGAGGGCGACCTCGAGATCCTTCGGGACCTAGTGGCGACCCCGTGACCCTCCCGTGCCGAGGGGACCTCGAGATTCTTTGATGACCTCCAATCCGCAATGGATGACTTAAGGGCTCTTCTGGCCTAGTGACGACCTCAAGACTAGATGACATTGAGGCCCTTCGGTCTAATAGCTACTTTCAGCACATGGTCTTGGTGGCTTGGGGGATAAGGATCGCGCTTAAGAGAAACTGGATCCTTAAACATGAGAAGTATATATCATCAAGGATATTGAAGATACAAAGAGATTTAGTTGGTTAAGAAGAGAGATACGGGAAGACTTCTTACAATACTATGAGCCATCTTTGTTATGAGGTCATGTGTTAAGGTGTTGACTTAACACAATAATTGTTGAGTAATTTGTTTAATAAGTCGAATGTACATTGATCATTTATATTGTTTGATCAATTTGAAGTTGGTTTATTATTGATAAATCGAGAAAATTGTAATTTTTGCGAAAGGAAACATACTACGATTACTTCTTCTGCTCTTTTTGCATGCCTTGGTACAGTCCGACATTTCATCAGCCGTTCATCCTTGACGAGCCCGAACTAGAACAACCCGAGGAATTGGATATGGATGTGATCGAGCTTGACCTGACTACGATCGAGAGGCTGAAGTTGGAGATAGGGTGAAGGGTTGTGGTCGAGGTTGACTGAGCTTGGTTGTTGCCCAAAGAATTGGCTACTCTCATGGGTGGAACAATTTCATTTGCTTGGTTGTGTCAAGGCCTTGTTTGGTAATTAGCTTTTTGACTAGCGAATTGTGTTAGATGTTTTGACCAGCTGATCGTGTTAGCGGTTTGTAAAAAAGTGTTTGGTAAAATTAGCTATTTTAATTAGCTTTTAACTTGTAAAATTACTTATAAGGACATCAACATACTTTATAATTCATATTTATATTGAGCTTATAATTATTTTAGGAAATAAAAATAATTTTTTTTAATATTTACTAATGTGATTTAAAATAAAACAAACATAATACAATGAAGGCATTCAAATGCAACTAAAGTAAAAATAAAAATAAAAATAAATTTATTTGGATAATAATAACAACTGCCCGCGCGTTGCAACGCGGCAAAATTATAATTTATATTTTCCTTGACTAACCTCTACTAACTAGTAGTAGCGGCGAGTAAGGATCGAACCCACATGGAGTGTGAATGAAATTGTGAAACTTTTGTATTAATTGAATTTAAAAAAAAAACGATAAAAGAGGGGATTGGTTTAAAACTAAGATCCTAATTAAATAAATAAAATCTAAACAAATAAAATAAAAATAAAAATAAATAATAAGAGAAATTTCTAGTTCACGGTTCCGTCTACACCCTCGACTGACTCGTCTAATCAACTTTGGTATCAAATCTCACTATCTTATGGAATTACTAGACTTAGGCAACGACACGGTCTGTTACCCGAATTTTTCCTTATTCATGATTTAACCGCGAGACGCTCTACGATTAAACCTGACTTCTTGTACAGTCCAGAAAGACGCTTTCAAGATTTAATACAATTAGCCGCTTTACGAATTAGAAAAATAGGCTAGACTAAGTAGTGACGCGTTCGTTCACTTAAATAGGCTGTGTTATCCTCAGTAGTTACCATCTTCTGGATACCACTTGCGAATTAAACACATCAACAATTACGGATTCAAGGCATAATTCAGGTGTAGATATGAAAAGCCTAATCTAGGTGATCAATCTAAACAAGACTCAACACATCATGGTTAATTATTCAAAATAACACGCACAATTCCAAAAAGATAATAAAATCATCAACCACGAAAATCAATTAAACATTATCAAGTCGTAGGGTTCAACTTCCCCGGAACTATAAAGAAAAACTAGCCTAACATAATAAATAAAAATAAAAAGAAAAGAAAGAGAATAGAATTATCCTTTTTCGTGTGCGGGTGCGGCCTCCCTCCGCAATTCGTCGGGCTCTCGTGCTTTTCCTCTGTCTGCGTCTTTTCTCTATGTGTGGCGGTGTGAATTCTCTGAATTCTTTCTCCTCTGCTCGGCTGCGTGAATATATGGTTGCTCCATTCCTTTCTCTGTTCGCGTGAATATATCTTCCCCCTGTATGCTTGGCGGCTCTCAGCAATTTAAAGGGTTAATTGCTAAATAAACCTTAACCTTTTTGGGTTTGACAATTTTATCCCAAACTTTGGGTAATTGCAATATAATCTCGACCTCAATTTACTTATTGCAAGTTGAACTTAAAACCGGTTGTACCTTCAAAAAAACTGGTCGATTTGAAGGCGGTTCGAAAAGATCGGAGCTCATATTTATTGGTTCACTCCAGATCTAGGAGGATACTCATCACCGTTAGTTTACATTGACGTAGAATTTTCAGCTTTTTGCGTGGATATACAATAAATACGTGGATATTGTCAACTTGCTACGTGGATGGCATAAAAACCCGTGTCAGTGGAAGACTTGGACGCAAAATCGATCCACAAATCCGTAAAATCAATCACTCTGCACCCAAATTTGCAATAAGTAAATTGAGGTCGAGATTATATTGCAATTACCTAGATATTTGGATAAAATTGCCAAACGTAAAAAAGTTAAGATTTATTTAGCAATTAACCCAATAAATAATAAGGTATGCCTATGTATTAATTTCTCTCCAAAGCTTCTTAAAATATTATAATTCCCTTGCTGATTTGTGTAAATTTTTTCCTTATTGTCCAAGGACTTAATCAAAATCCTTCAATCCCATGTGCGTATTCACCAAATCCTATATCAAATATTGGGCCTTTTCTAAATAATAATCCATCCTTGGGCTCGAAACAAAGCAGGTGTTGGGTTCCACTCGGGCTGGAATGGGATATCCCATACTGGCATATTCAATTCTCGTTCAGTTCCATGCCGCCAATAAAAATGCTCCAATATCCTAAAAATAAGACATAAATATATCATAGTACTTAAATTCATCCAAATAATAAATAGGTCGAAAAATTTATAAGTGCGATAAAGTTTAGCATATAAAAATACACTAGTAAATATATAAAAACACACACTTTTTTCGACCAATCAAATCTCCCCAAACTTAAACCGTTGCTTGTCCTCAAGCAACTTAGAAATATAAGCACATAGATGGATAAGAAAACAAGTACGTGGAACTTTACTCAGGGCCTCACAATTCTCACATAAGTGCGTAGTTCAAACAACTCAAATTAATATATTCGGGCTCAAGACGAATTTATTCTAAGAACGCAAACACTTCAAGTATCAATCCAAGTGACCACCATAGTTTGTCAATCTCTATAACGAATGCACCGATCAATGCAACTCACGACACCCATCTCTTTGCTAACAAGTCTAGTTTCTTTCCATTTCTAGCCGAAGTCTAAACGTCTCATTCTCTATTTTTCTTTTTTTTTTTTCTCTCTTTTTGTTTTATTCTCTCTCTTTTTTTTGAAGTAGGGAACGACAACTCCGTCACAACCCATGGGTTTTAGTCTTTCGTGCTCGTCTAGATACGGAAATTATTGGAATTATACACTAGAGCCCCCACGGATTGGCATCTGTTGCAGCCTATGACTTTTTTTTTTTTGTGTGCCAAACGGCTTTTCAACTCCATCAATTATTCCTCCTTCCTCATTATTCTTTTTTTTCGACTACGAGACATAGAAACCCCAACTTTCAATTTCAAGTCCCCAAATTTAATCAACATTGATTAAAGCAATCACAAGCACATCTCAACAATACAAATCGCCTCAAAACTAACTCACCACAATAAGTCACAAAAATATTAACCATCATGCCTTTGTCCCCAAAATAAGAACACCTTAAGATATTTAACCAAAGAAAATTAACTCAAGCTATTTAAACTAGCACAATAAATCCAAACCGACTCTCATGTCATCATTGTAAAATTCCACATAAATGCAATCTCATGCTCACACAAGACAAACAAATATCATGCAATAAAATCTAAGAACTCAAACTCTAAGCGGCATAAATATAATCACATAATAAAACATAAATGCTCACCAAGAAACCACATTTCCAAACTTAGAGTTTGCATATATCAGCTACACTCAAATAAACACAAAAGAACAAAAACAGAGATAAAAAGAAACGAGTTCACCTTAGTCAATGTAGAAGAAGACTCCGAACCATGCACACCATTGGATTGCCTCCCAACAAGCGCCTCTTTTTATTGTCGTTGGCCCGACTTATTGCTCTCTTTCATCAAAGGATCCATGGTGGCTTCGGAAGTGGCCTTAAGGGAGCCACAAATCTCACCACGCCATGCCTTACCACATCTCCTCTTTCCGGCGTTGGGTGCTTCACTGGATCTTTCCTCCATGGAGCTGGTCCCTCAAAAATGTATAGCAACTCACGCTCACTAATGGTCACCATCTCATCAAACTCCCACTTACACCTTTCTTTTTTTCTCGATCATCTCTAGAGAAGGTATACCGAGGCCCAAGACATGCTTCAGTGCATCCTTGCTCAGTACCCACTTCATATTGGAAGAGATAAGACATGGTCCAGCTTCTATCGGCACAAGAGCGGGGAGAACTGTACACTTTTTGGCTCCAGCAGGTCGAGTACGGGGTACAGCAGTCTGAGTATGGGGTACCTTCGTACTGGGCTGTTTCGGCTCCGTTTATTCTATTTTCGTGAATTTTTTGTTCTCCGACTCGTAAGTGCACTCTTCAGGTTCCTCGAGGTCGTCGCTGCACAAATGGGTGACGCTCGAACTCATTGGACTCGTTTCGAGCCGACACACTAGTCGGTCTATTTGTTCCGCCAGTTGGCTCATATGGCCTTGTAAATTCCTTATGCTTAGTTCTTGGCTCTTGAGGCTCGTCTCAACACTTTGCTGAAAGTTAAGGGTGTGAGCCGTCAACTTCATCACCATATCTTCAAGTGACGGACCAAGATCTCTCTCAACCAATGGCTCGCAGTACTCTTGTCGAAATTTCAACGTGTTTAACCTGAATGCCTCTATGATATCCTCGAGCGACGGGCTGGGATCTCGCGTAATTGGTGGCTCGGAGTGCCCATGGAAAGAGTTCGAGTGCTCTCTCAAGCGGTATTCATACTCATCGGTATAGAAGTAGTCTTGCTCGTCCCTTCGCCAACCAGGTCCTCTTACGTCTCGATCTCCGATCCACGATCCTCGCATCTCCCTCTCATACTGGTAAGGTGGCTGGTGGGAATAAATATCGTGATAATAGGCTGCCATCTCAAAAAGTTGTTCCAAGCTCACTGAAATCGCCCAAAGATTAGTCAATCCCGCGAGTATGGGGTAGAACTAGTCTGTCCAACAGAGTATGGGGGCGCCTAGTATTCTGCAAAGGAAAAAAAAACAAGGAAAAAGAAAGGGGTAAAAGATGATAAAAATAAAATCATAAAAAAAATTAAATAATAAAAGATAATAAATCAATTAGTACTCAAAAATCACAATTCAATAACGCACTCCCCGGCAACGGCGCCAAAATTTTGCCTGCGCGTCGCAATGCGGCAAAATTATAATTTATATTTTCTTTGACTAACCTCTACTAACTAGTAGTAGCGGCGAGTAAGGGTCGAACCCACATGGAGTGTGAATGAAATTGTGAAATTTTTGTATTAATTAAATTTATAAAAAACGATAAAAGTGGGGATTGGTTTAAAACTAAGATCCTAATTAAATAAATAAAATCTAAACAAATAAAATAAAAATAAAAATAAAT